ACAAGAGAAGCTTCATTCAGATGGCTCTCCAGCTAAGAACCAGGGGCTAAAGGTATTTTTTAAATCTTTTCCTATTCTCTCCTATATTATAGCTCCAGAAATGGCACTTCTTAAATTTTTTTCAGGTTAAAGCCTGTAATCCTAGCTACTCAGGAGGTTGAGATCTGAGGATCACAGTTCACAGCCAGCCCAGACAAGAAGGTCCCTGAGTCTAATCTCCAGTTAACCACCAGAAAACTGGAAGTGGTGCTGGGCTCAAGTGGTAGAGTGCTTGCCTAGTTGAAGAGCTGAGGGACAGCACTCAGGCCCAGAGTTCAAGCCCCATGACTGAGAGAAAAAAAAAAAAAAAGAAGTCTGCAACTCTTACCTCCAATTCACCACTGGAAAGCTGGAAGTGGAGCTGTAGCTCAAATAGTATAGCACTAGCCTTGAGAAAAGTTGAAGGAAAGTACCAGGCACTGAGTTCAAGTTATAGGACCGGCACACAACACAAATTCAGGTTATATAGTGATTCCTTCTTCAAATGTGTACTTTAAAAACTCATAAAAAATACATACGAATCCATTTACTTCACACGTTTATAACCAAAGGAAAAATGTGGCCTTCCAAATACTAATAGGAGCTGAGGAAATTTGCCCTTAGGAGAATGCCCAACTTTTCAGCTTATAGAAAGGTGGCAAGGGGCTGGGAATGTGGCTCAGTGATAGAGCGCTTGCCTAGCATGCATGAAGCCTGGGTTAGATTCCTTAGTACCACATCTAAAAAGCCAGAAGTGGCACTGTGGCTCAAGAGGTAGAGCGTTAGCCATGAGCCCATAGAGGCTCAGGGACAGAGCCCTGGTCCTGAGTTCAAACCCTAGGACTGGTGGTATCTAAACTATAAACTTAGACTTCCAATTACAGTCCTTATCAAAACCTTTCTGGGTTTATCAGAAGGTAACTGCTCTACATATGTTTAAGTATACATATATACTTCATAATACGTATCATATGATACACACACACACACACACACACACACACACACACACACACACACACACACACACACACACACACACACACACACACACACACACACACACACAGTGACCGAGCTTCTTAACTGTCTCCCGAATTTTCCTTGTCATTCCAGGGTCCTTCTCTAGCCAGGAAGGGTAAATCAAGAAGCTAAGCTACGTAATTGGCCTCCGGGTGAACGTTTGTCCAATGAGACTACAAGGGTGTGTGGAATGCCCAGTGGGGGTACTCAAGATTTCCCCCCCTTTTAGATAAAAAGCCATGAGAACCATCTTTCGTAACCCTACTTGGGATGTAAAGGATACATTTGAGTTTTGGAAGCCATATTGTGACCATGACTATTCTGTGCTTTGCCCAATAAAGTAAAGCTAAAGGTGTTAGGACAGACACAGCAAATCAGATCTCACCCCTGCACACAAGCCATTGAAGGACCACATGTATATGCAGTCATAGACATTGGCTTTCAAGAATGAGCACATTCCATGCCAGGTTTTGGTTTCATTATTTGGTAGGAAGTGAAATTTCTGCCTGCTTGTAATAATTCTCTATTCCTGGTCATGGCAACACCTGTATTGCCTGTAACTGGGCCTTTATTATTCTTTTTTTTTTTGGTGGTGGGGCTGGGCACTATTCCTTTCTGCTCAAGGCTAGCACTCTACCACTTTGAGCCACAGTGCCACTTCTAGTTTTCTGGCCATAAGTTGTAAGTAAGATTCATACAAACTATCCTGCCTGGGCTGGGTTTGAACCACAATCCTCAGATCTTAGCCTCCTGAGTAGCTAGGATTACAGGAGTGAGCTACCAGACAGAGTCTGGCTCATTTCGTATTTTCTATTCAATGGTTCAGATTCACGTCCAAGGCCCTTCCCATACCAACACTTGCAAGCAACTATCATGTGAAAAGCAAAAGAAAAGATGGCTTCTTGCCAACATAAAGCAAAGTGAGAAACAGAAAAACCAAAGAATAAAATAAGATCCCTCAGTTCCCTGGGATTCACAGCAGAGTAGATCAGCAGGTCTGTTCTGTCCAGTGCCACTTTTTTTTTTTTTTTGGTCTGTCATGGTGCTTGAAGTCAAGGCCCAGGAGATGTCCCTGAGCTCCTTTGCTGAAGGCTAGTGTTCTAGCACTTTGAGCCACAACTCTACTTCTGATTTTTTTTTGGGGGTCCAGTCATGAGCTTGAACTCTGGGCCTGGGCGCTGTCCCTCAGCTCTTCAGCTCAAGGCTAGCGCTCTACCACTTGAGCCATAGCACCACTTCTGGCTTTTTTTTCCCCTGCTTCTGTGGTGCTGAGGAATCGAACCCATGGCCTCATGCATGCAAGGCAAGCACTCTACCACTGAGCCACCTTTCCAGCCCTACTTCTGATTTTCTGTTGGTTAGTTGGAGATAAGAGTCTCACAGACTTTCCTGCCTGGGCCAGCTTTGAACTGTGATCCTCAGAGCTCAGCTTCCTGAATAGCTAGAATTACAGGCATTGAGTCACCAGCTCCATGGCTTTGCCTGGTGCCATTCTTATCTACACCCCCAAGTTTGATAAGCTGAAGGGAAATATGCTACCTATTTGCAAACTGGCATATGCTACAGCCTATACAATATGTACTGCACAAAACACCTTAAGAACCAGTCAGTTTAATATAAAATGTCTTTAATCATCTTTGAAAACATTTAAAAAACAATTTTGAGCACTTTTAATAAAAAAAGAGAACTGAAATGCTACTGCAATATCAACTACTGTCATTTCAGCAGGTACAACAGACAACAGAACACTGGGGAAGTCTGACCTTTTGCACTCAATGAAAACATGAAACAGGGCTTGCTTCTGTCTCTTATGGTGTAGTAAAGCACATTGTAGTACAAGACTATTATTTGAAACCTCAGATGCACTGCACACACACACAAAAAAAACCCACTTTCCTTCTTTTCAGTTCAAAAGTCAGTGCTTATTGCAATTATATGCAAAATTATTTACTTCATGAAGTCTTATCATGATAAACAGTATGCAAAATGTTTGAAACATCAAAATGATGGAAAGAATCCAAGAATGTATTCAACAACTAAGTAAGAATTAGTAAACATAAAAAAAAAGTAAATAACTTGTGAATAACTATGCTTTCCTGGTTAACAATGAACCAGTTTCAATACAGCCAAGGGGGGGAAAAGTGGTTACAGGAATTCCTAGTACTGTACAAGATAAGTCGATAACACTCATGCACATTTGTGAGCATGTATTTAACATGGTGAAGCAAACTAAACTTAATTCTTCCTGCTGGAATATTCTCGTGTAAGAGAATAAGAAATAGAAATATCTCATTGAGATCAATGCACATTGCTACATAAGACAATTTCATCTGTCACTTGGATGACATTTTGTCTTTTTCATAATGAAACACATTTAAAAAGTTTAATCTGTGGACTGTACTGGTTGCATTTATCCTAAGAGATGTGCCTACCACAGGTTCAACAAATTTAGTGCAATATATGAACCCCAGAAAGTTTGCTGGACGAATTCAGCCAAATTCAAAGAGTTTGCTGCAATACTATACATGGTGGGTAAAAATCCTCCAGTCTCTCTCTCTCTAATTTTTTTTTTATCAAAAAAGATTTTCATTATTTTTTTTATTAGTAGGAAGCTAATAATGTAAACAAGGGATTAGAATGGCCTCAAAAATCTCCTTTTCAGAGTATCTCATATAGAAAGGCTCCCATCATTTGTAAAAGAAGTCACACAGTTTCCTTTGGGTATTGCATACTTTGGTGCGCAGTAGTGCTGTGTCTCGATGTACAGTGAAGAAATACCTAGCATCTAGAAACAATCTAACAAAGCATTAAATCAAGTTAACAGCGAACACACACAAATGCCAATAACTAGGACATAGCGACATATAAACCTCTGAGCCAACCCTAGCACCATTTATTTATCAAAATATGTTAATACCCTACCTTCAAATTTATCCAACAGCGAAACCTTATTAAATGAAACCCTTCATCACATCTATTAAATATTCATTGATTGCAGTTTTCTGATCAGTTTACGAATTAAGGTAAAGAAAAGCTTAGCTAGCGCTAGGTTCAAGGTAGTATATATAGCAAACCATTTAATGTTAGCTTTCAAAACTTAACGTCAATTTAAAAAATCTCTTTTAGAGGTGATCTTGAAACTCACCTAAATGGAGCTGTCCACTAGCGAGGAGCTTTGTGTCGACATGAAATTCATAAATACTACTTATAAAACAAAATGGGAGCTATAGAGAGAAACATTTTAAAACAAATCCTGAGTGCTTTGCTTATTTTGCAATTGTGTTTATCACAATAAATAAATTAAGCAAGTAATAAAACGTTCCTCTTTTTCAAGTACTATTATTATCCCCTTTGTTTTATTAGAGATATAAAGATTTGTGGCTTCAGACCTTAGGTGGTGAAATGCTTGTTTGTTTGTTTTCTTCTGCTCGGCTTTAAAGTTCCCTCCTACCTGCTTGTTTTTTAAGCGGATCCCATAATCAAATTTTACTACCACATTCAGGAGGAACAAAGGAGTCAGTCAGCAAACCCAAGAGGAAAAACAAAGCTGGTTACTAAAGAGTAGCATAGTGAAAACATTTCAAAAGAAATCTTAAATAAAATTTCAATATGTATATGCAGCCTTTGTGATGAAACTAAGAAAATGCTTTTCCTTTCCTTCTACAAACCCTCTCAACTATATAGTAAATCTTGAAGCATGGAACAGTTTTCCAATATGCCTCTGCTCAGTCTATTAAATGACAACATCTGGAGAGGGTGTGTGTGTGTGTGTGTGTGTGTGTGTGTGTGTGTGTGTGTGTGTGTGTGTGTGTGTGTGTGTGTGTGTGTGTGTGTGTGTGTGTGTGTGTGTGTGTGTGTGTGTGTGTGTGTGTGTGTGTGTGTGTGTACACATTAGCTCCATGTTAAAATCAGTGTGTGTGTGTGTGTGTGTGTGTGTGTGTGTGTGTGTGTGTGTGTGTGTGTGTGTGTGTGTGTGTGTACACATTAGCTCCATGTTAAAATCAGTGTTTTAAAATCAGATTAATGCAAGGTCACAAATATAAATGGCTACTTGTTTTCCTCTTAAAAATTTTAGTGCAGCTTTCACTTTCCTTAAATTAGCATTTTGATTTCCCATCATCTTCTAAGTAAGCCCTTCATTGTAGGAGTGAATGGTACTGAAGCCCGAGAAAAGTCCTACAGAGATTTTCCTTCTACAGTAGCTTTAATGCTTCAAGCCTCAATATTTATAATCACCTGAATATTATCCGTGTCGAGGAGGACTCGCTTGTCTACACTTCACATGGGGTGGGGGGAGGGGCCTATGATTTCATACCTACAAAACAATGCTGACAAGAGGAGACCCTATACCTACAACTGATGCTACTTTCTAAATTCTGGGTATGCAACTGATGAATTAAAACAAACTTATATAAAATAAAGCCCTAGACTGCTCTTGTAAAACCTGGAAAGTCGATTCTTTACTAGCAAACAATGTGATTAAATGGGGGAACATCAGAAAATTTAAAACCTAATACTTGTTCTTCTACAGCCTACTGTCTTCAGAAACGTGTTCAGAACTGAGGCGAGTCTAACCATTTCCTTTCCCACTGACGAAGAAACCACTTCTGCAGCAAACGCTTTTAAAAATGTCACAATTAATAGTAAGTGTTTCTGCTGCGGGAGGCACTTCCATTAAGACAAATACAATACATATGTCTTTAGATACAGTGTGCTACATATTATAAAACACAATTTAACCCAACATTTCAACAGCAGGATGGTCCTTGCTTTCTATCCATTCAAAGCCCGATGAAGCCATTGAGTTCATGGATTCATTGCAGATCTGTTGAAACAAAGGGTCATTCTTTAATTCTTCCAGTGTAGCTCCGTCATCTTGCCCCTGCTGGCGACCTGGATCGAACAGTAGATTTGGGTCCAAGGTGTTCAAATCGTTGATGCTGCCTGAGAGGTCAGAAGACAACCTGATGTCACTAGAGAAATCTGACGCAGTACTGCTGAGCTCAGAGGCTACCTGGCCTACCAGCTGCTGGTTGGTTTGCAAGCTGTCTCCACTCAACAGGTCTTTAACAGTACTATTGAAATCTAATGGTTCTTCTCCAATTTCAGATTGTGCTTGATTATCTCCAGGAGAAAAACTGATCTGATCGGTGCTATTACTTTTGGTGAGGTAAGATGGTGTTTGGAATTCATAAACAGAAGTGCTGGAGTCAATCATATTCTGTGAGTTGGCACTAGGAAAAACAGTAGAAGTTTCCAGAATCTGAGTGAGATTCATCCGGGCTGTGTAATTGGAGGGCATGTTGTTCATTCCCAAGCCTCTCATTGCGTCATCGCTGTCAGAATCAAGTTTACTCAACAGAACGTTGGTTATTTTCTTACTGTTTGTCTGTTTTTGGAGAGCGTTTGGGAACGCTGTCTGCATCATGACGGTCAGGGGAACTGACTGGCTTCTCTGAGCTATGTTGTTGGCACATGCATCTGTGTGCGCATTGGTGAAAACATGAACCTCTGGGGTGACTGGACTTCCAAAGGGGGTCACATTAGATCTTGGGATATTAGACACGGGATAGAGGGTGCTTCCACTAAGATTCCGTTGGCGATGGACAGCAGGACTCACGCTCCGACACCTGAAGTTGCCGCTGGCAGATGAATTTGTTCCTTTATTATCAAGTGGGGCGGGGACCGCGAACCCCTCCTGCTTGTTGGTACTGTTCACAGTGGCACCTTGATGCTGCACAGGGGAGACAGGAGTCAAACGGCCAAAGTGAGTGTCATGATGTCGGGACTGAGACTGATAGTTCTGGCCAGGCACCGCAAAAGCATGAGGCTTCCTGAAACGATCTTCCACCAGTTCCTGGTAGCTGGGGAGAATGCCATGGCCAGAAACTGACGAACTACCAACCCCGCTATACCCATTATTCATCCATTCAAGCTTGGTCTTATCAGGGTGTGTGGCCATGGGCCTCTGCATTGGTTTCACAGGACTGCTGGAGACAATGCTGGCATCATGATATGCCATGCTGGAGCTTATTGGGGTGAATGCAAATGGATTCCTGCATTCAACAGGGCTGGGGGGGACGCTGCTACTGCAGTTTGAGTGTGGAGTACCAATGGGTGTATGTCGACTGCTTCCTAAAGCACTATCCACAGGTGTAGTCTGAGCCAGCCTGGAGCATGGGCTCTCCCGTGACAGACTCTGAGACCCAGCAATCATCTCAGATGTCGGGGTTGGAGTTGGGGTGGGGGTGGGGGTGGGGGTGGGAGTGGGGGTGGGCGTGTGAATTGGAGTGCCATTGCTGTGGATCGGATGGTAGAAGTGCGTGCTGGAAGCGTGAGATGACATTGGCGCTCCTGGAGTAACTGACTGACTCTGAAGGGCCATTCCCAAGCAGTTACCGTAAGAGTGGGAATTGTTCATTGACATCTGCTGCTCCATAAGCACCAGCTCTTCCACAATGCTGTCTTGTGTCAGTTCATCATCAAAAGGGAAGTAGCTCTCATTTGTCTGGGAAACGGAAGGCTCAAACTCTTTCAATTCAGACTGCAGAGGTAACTGATCTGAAGACTGTGCTTGTATTTGATTCAAAGAAGATTCTTGTATCTGGCTATGTAGCTGCTGACTGTATGTCTCCTGCGGCATTCCTTCCAATTCCCAAACAGATTTCTCTAAATCGTGGATATCAGAGTGCTCGGCAATTGCCATAACACTGATATCTTGCTGTGGTTCGCAGCTGCCAGACATGAACTCAGAATCCTTGGTGACTTGCTGCCATTCATTTGGATTAAAGCTGCCATCACGGTCCAAGAGAAAGACATTCCCTTCAAGTTTTATTTTTATATCTGGAGATGATGATGGTGTTATTTGCTGTTCCAGAGTAGAATCGCTGGCAGTAAGAGCAGAAGAACTCAAGGGCTGATTTTCTACCATGTGTGAATCGATACTGACTGACAGTGTGGTAGGAATTGGAGCACCTGCTGTGGAACTTTCAGTTTTACCTGAATGTGGAACCTTTTGGTCGTTCTTAACACTGCCTGGTTTCTGATCTTCCATGACAACTTCGGAAAGCTGTTCCACGATTGGTTTCTTGACAGGAGGCACCTGGGACTCTTGCAGCGTAGAAGACAGTCGTTTTCTGGGACTTCTAGTGCATAATTTAGAGTCTTTATTTATTGAGTCACCATTGGTTGGTGAGCTGGTGCTGGTGAAAGTTAAGTTCTGAGTAGCAACTGAGAGCGTGACAGTGCTTTGATTATTGCCTGGTGAGGCGCCCAGCAGGGTTTCATGACAGCGACTTTTACATTTGGTCCTCTGGTCACAGGCCTTGGTTGCCGCTTTCCCCTCAGCAACACCTTCACTTGAGGACTTTTGTCCCATTCCATCTGCATTGCTTTTCTGCCCCAAAAGCACACTGGGTGCTGTCTGGGGGGCTTTAGTCCCATCAGAGTTCTCTTGGCATGGCGTGGGATGCTCATCTGATGATCCTTCAGGTTCCATTTTGACTTCCACAGCAGAAGTTCCCCCAGTGCCGCCGGTCCTGGACCCAGGAGACTGAAGAGAAACAACAGAGCCATTCTTGATCTGTGGGATGCTCCTGGATTCTTCTGTCGCTCCTGGAGCACTGCTGACTGAGGCAGAAGGTTTGAGAGGGGCATTGCTGCTGCTGGGTGTGAGGGATATTGTTGTCATTTTCACCACATTGAGAGAACTGACATGTGGCGCGGGCACAACAGCGGTTTTGATGGGACTGCTAGTGAAGAGGACGGTGGTTGGAGAGCGGATGGTGAGCGCACTGGTGCTGGCTGGCTTGGGTAAGATCTGAGGGTATCGGTGGCGGGCAGAACGGTCCCCGCCAGGACTGGCCGGAACGTTCTGAGGGGTCTTTGGTGCCTGTTTCACAGACTGCATGTGCTGAGTGACCACCTGTACGTTGAGGGGGAGGACTTTGCCATCAGAAGAACTCATTGGGTTTGGTGAAGTTACCAACTGCCTGGTCCGCTGCACCTGAGAACAGAGAAGGGGGGGGAGGGGGGGGGATTAGATTTATCTGGTCTAGGCTAGAAATAGTAACGCGCATGCCTACAGCATTAGGCCATTTATTAAATGTTAATTAAATGTTAATGGTATAAAGAAAAAAAGGCCATTTGTATATAGAAGAGACTCCTTTTCAGATCAGTTCTATACAACCAGGCACTCAAATACTTGTATGTAAGCTCAATGCAACATGTTTAGACAATGTAATAGTACAGAGGAAGACTATTAAGATAGTAAGACCAAGAGCTTCAGATTTGGGGCAAATGCTTGCTGAAAGAATGATTTTTTAGGAAGAAGAGATAAAATCTGAGGATCACAGTATCAAGTATGTGGTACTCATGCCAAGAAGAAGGTTTACTCTCGGAGACACACCATCCTATAAATGGGTCTACCCTGAACTTCAGCAACTAAACCATTGTGGTTCAGGTCTCAGGCAAAACTGGGATGGAGTGTGCTCTACAGTGAGCAGTATGGTCAGCTGCTACTTAATGGCATGACAATGGCGAAGGTAATGACAAGAGAAAAAACAACAAATGTCTCCTTAATAATGTTATCAGTAATAATGAAATCACTTTACTTTAGCAGCATGTACTCTCACTTTAAAGCCCCTTCATCGTAACTTCAGTTGTGTGAGACAGGAGAGGAGACAATTCCACTTGTAGAGAAGGAAATGAACTCAGCGTAGCTATAAGACATTGCCCAGTGTTCTATCTCCAGCTAGCCACAGAGAAGGGCCTACATTAAATTATCAACACATATTAAAATTTTTGATCCACATGAATCTTAACAAAAAATGTTTAAGTCAAAGATAAGAGTTATAGTTATACTTTCCTAATTCAGCCAGGAATGAGACAACTTGGATAATAACTCACTCTTAAAGCTCTGATTGGTTATATGTACAATTTATATATCTTGGATCTTTTTTGTGCTGGTCCTGGGACTTGAACTCAGGGCTTGGGCACTGTCTCTGAGCTTCTTGAGCACTGTCGCTGGCTCAAGGCTAGTGCACTACCACCTGAGCCAGAGCTTTACTTCCAGCTTTCTCTGTGATTAATTGGAGCTAAGAATCTCATTGACTTTTTTGCCCAGGCTGGCTTCAAACCACAATCCTCAGATCTCAATCTCCTGAGTAGCTGGGATTACAGGTGTGAACCACCGGCCCCTGGCTGGATCTTTTTTTATTTTTATTTTTTTTAATATTTTTTTATTCATTGTTGTTTATGGACAGCTGTCCTTGAGCTTTTTTGATCAAGGCTAGCACTCTAGCACTTTGATCCATAGCTTCACTTCCAGTTTTTAGGTGGTTAATTGGAGATAAGAATCTCCTGCTTGGGCTGGTTTATCTTCTTTTTTCTTTTTCTTTTTGCCAGTCCTGGGGCTTGAACTCTGGATGTGAGTGCTGTCCCTACCGTTTCTTTCATTCAAGGTAGGCACTCTACCACTTGAGCTACAGTGCCACTTCTGGCTTTTTTGAGTAGTTTATTAGAGATAAGAATCTTACAGAATTTCCTGCCCAACTGGCTTTGAACTGCAATCCTCAGATCTCAGCCTCCTAAGTAGCTAGGATTACAGGTGTGAGCCACCAGTGCCTGGCTAGATCTTCATATTTTTACTTACATTCATTTTGTAGCATCTTATGAAATCAACAATATCCATTCTGAGTGAAAGATCATGATTACAGGGGAATCTGGCACTAAAAAAGTTTATAATTGTTTCTACGTATATACTTATCTTCTCATCTGCCACTTTTCAGTAAATGACTGACGTCCTACCCTCCCAGGAGACCAACACTAATATTTAGTCTTATTACCGGAATGGGGCTGGGGACAGCTGCCACAACAATGCCGATAGGCTGAGGAGAAAGGATCGCAGGGTTTCCATTGGGAAGATTAGCCACTCCATTGGTGGAAGTGCCTTCTGATTTTTTTGCTGGGGAATCTCCTGGCAAAGGGGATTGTAGTTTCTGTTCTTGCTGCTTTTTTTGGATTTTCCGTTGCAATTGCTGTTTAGCATCAATTGGGGATGGCAAAGTCTTCACTTGCGGCTGAAAGGAATTACTTTCCGCCGTAGGTATAAAAGCAGAAGGCTGGGTGATTCCTTTAATTCCTGAAAATAAGCAGAAAGGAAAGGTAAAATATTACATTCTCTTTTGTAGAAGGAAGTTACATATTCTTTGAAAGGGTAGACATCTACTGGACAAAACTACTGAGACAGCAGATTTTAACTATATTTCTTTACAATGCTAACTATCAGACTTCAGTTTATAAACATTTGTCAACATGGTTTTGACATCTGAAAATAGTTTGACTAGGGCGACAGTTTCAGTTAAATCAACAATAGCAGCTAACAAAGAATTGCTATGCCATAAATATGTAAAGCTGAAGCACAAATACGTGCTGGGAGCACTTTTACATTTTATCAGATTGTCAATTTTTCTAATTAGAATGAAGTTCATGCATTTTCATGATTTTTAATATTCAGCCCACCAGGAATACTCAGTATTTGCTGAAACAACTCCATATTTTAGGGGGAAAAAAAGTCTGCAGGCCAAAGTAAATTTTTAATCTCAACAGAAATGTACAGAAATAGGCACTGCCATTATAATTGCTATGATATGGTATGATCTAAAATTCATGAAGCAGAATTTCATAGTAAGACTATTAAGTTAGTCTGGAAAGTGTCACTGAGAAATGTTTTTGAAAAGTAATAAGGTGACTGATGTGTTTGCATACCTACATCTATATATTTTATATCGAGAGAATTCAGTAAGAGATTCAGTAAGCAAGACATGTAACTTTTTTCTTGATGCTTGGGATCAAACCAAAGGTCTTGGCTCAGGCTAAGCAAAGTGCTACAAGGCTGGGCCACATTTCCAGTAAGATATAAATTTTAGCTTAAGAAAGATGGATTATATAATAAAAGTAATCTTTTCAAAAGCACTTTTCATACGTAGAGAACATTAAGGTAATTAGAAGTAAGCTGTGTACGGTAGTCAAATGGGAAGGGGAGAGAAGCACCATCCTGCTGATGCTGGTAACCCTATCTAGCCTGCCCCAGCTGGTCTGCTTTTCAGCAGTTCTAGTGCACAGCAACAATCTGGAGCAGAGGGGAGAGGAACAAAGGAGAGGGGAAGGAAAAGAATGGAGAGAAGGGGTTGGAAGACAGGGAAGAGAAGGAAGAAACCACCGCCCCCTCCCATCTACTCATTCTCTCTCTTAGGTCACCTGCCCCTCATCTCTTGGCCATCTTTACCACTGAGTATTAGTTTGCCCTGGCCCAGCCTCAGTTCCATTTTGGAGCACCTGCACCCAGGAGGGCCTCTGCCAATGGCTCACAACTTGGCTCTTTTCCCCCTGCCAGGGTTTCTAGACAGGAGTGAGATCCAAGCAGCTGACTTACAAAAAGGACATTTGTAACACAAGCTCTCCTTCACCTGGAGACTGTATTTACAAAAAAATCCAAATTTGCCTTCAAAAAACAAAACTTGATTTACCAAAAAGGATATATATATAATAATGTAATAAGGTCTTGTATCTGCATTTCAAGGGACTAAAAAGCTATTTTAACTAATAAAACTGGTAAAATAATGTTCCTAGCTAACTGCTTTGAAAACCTGTTTATATGTGTATGTTTTAGTATTTTTAACAATAAAAAGAACTGTTTATTTACTCTTATGCCTTGGAAATTCATTCTCTTCATTCACCATTTGAGTTAGACTTGTGAATAATGTGGGAGATAACAGATAATTCCCCTTGATGCTTCCTCAGTATGTTCTAGTATCTTCTCAGTACCAACAGGAGGAGGAGAAAGAGAAAAAGGAAATTACAGGGCCCATACCTTTGCCAGAAGAAAAGATAATAGATATAACAGAATTAACCTAGACCGTGGAGACAAACGTATCAGGACTCAAATCCTGGCCCCATCCCTTATCTGACCATGGATAAGCTACTTAACTTCTGGAATCTGTTTCCTGATCTGTGTGTCAGGAATGAAAATTTCATCTTTCACAGGAATGTTTCAGGAATGAAATGAGTTAACACATGTCAGCTACATGGCCAGCTTCGTGTCTGATCAAGCACTGTCCTGCTGGTGTGTAAGTTTAAGCAAATGAAGTTTTAAGACACACACAGTTTACATACATTCAGACAAAGTTAGGACTCGCTCTTAAAAGAAACTATTTTTCTGAAACTGGGTCTTAGCTGATTATAAAATAAGAGGACAGATTACATGCACATACATACAAATCCCATAAAATTATGGACAGAATAAATCTATTGTAGATTAAACCTATTATAGAGTTAGCACTTAGAAGAATCATCTTGGCAAACAAGTTTTATGTTCATTTGAACTGATACTTTACACAATTATTAATTTAGGAGAGAGTCATCTATGTATCAATCTATAGAGTTTTATACTAAAACTTCACAGTTTGCCTTTTGTGAGACCAAGTTACCAATCATTATGTTCAAAGACCACTTTATTTATAAGCTTCGTTTCTGCGACAGGAGTCAAGCATATCACTTATAAATTTCATCTTATTTTACTTCTAATATGTAATCCGGTAAACAGATTTCAAAGTACTTAGATACACATTCTTCACATTAAAAAAAAAAACATCAATAAGAAAATAATCAGTAGGGGAAATCCAAATAGTTTCATGTTGCAGCAGAGCAGTTATGCAAGTATTCTATTAAGCTCTACTCTGAAAGGACTGTTTTGATTGCTGGCTTCACAAACCCATGTGCGATTAGTGTAAAGTGGAGAAAGAATAAACTCAAGTCCAACTCGTACGACCTTTTCGAGCACACCTTCTGCTTAGCAATAACTTCCTACCTGCTGGTGCTGCTGCCATGACAGTCAGTGCTGCCATTGACTTGGTACCTATATAGTGACTTTTTACAAGGAAGCGGGCTAACTCCAAGACTGTGTCGAATGGCTGGCTTAACACCTTCTGGGCCCATTCACACACAAGTCGGCCAGCAGAAGACAGAACTTCCTCATCAATATTCTGAAGCTGCCCAGAAGGTTCAGTGCCCTCCAACTAAACAAAGGAAAAAGGAAAAGTTAACATAAGAAAAAAAAAAAAAAGTTCAGAGAGATAACTGAAGCACATTAAAAGTTGGCCTTCTCAAGAGAGGATACAATTTGAATCGGAAGGGTCAAACAGTGGGAGTGACTACTGGCAGAGCTGACCACCAGCACATGGTAAACACAACACTGTAAGTTGCTGTTGAACATCTATGGGGACTCCCAGATGTGTTTGGTCTTTCTAAATTAGAAGCACTGGCTCATGTGAAAAATCCAATTATGCTAACAGCCACATTTTCTACAATTTTATCCTATACATACTATACAACAGCTATTTTACAACATTTTCCTTCTTGAACACACACATACACACACACACGCGCACACACACACACACTCTCACACATAGTCAAGACCTATCATGGACACATCTTTAAGACACAACTTTAAGTCTTTGTTCTCCTGATTTTCATGATGATGTAGAGCACACACACTAATACCTTCTTCTGCTCAATTATCTGTAAAAGGCACACAGTTCCTGGTTTGATCCAAATCCAACTGTGCAAGGTGCTTTTCAATTGTTATAAAGGTGTGATTCTACTTACTGAAAAGAAATGGTAGAATTCTTACCCCATCTCCAGTTTTGTGAAAGTCAAGGTTGGGCAGTGTTGGCATATGAACAAAAGCTTTTTTCCTTAGTCCACTGTAGCAATATGTAACAGAGAGTTAAGGTTGAAAGTACACTAAAGAAAATGGACTGCCTATTGAGACAGATAACCCCAGCATGAGATAATACCTACTTTCTAGATTCTTCGTTAGAAAAGCTGAATATCAGAAACTCAGGATATATGTGTATTTTTTTCTGGTTGGTTGTGAGACTTGAACTCAGGGCCTGCGTGCTGTTCTTGAGCTTTTTTGTTCAAGGCTAGTGCTTTCACCTATAGCTCCATTTCTGGCTTTTTGGTGGTTAATTGGAGATAAGAGTGTCATGGACTTTCCCAGGCTGCCTCTGAACCAGAATTCTCAGATCTCAGCCTCTCGAGCAGCTAAGCTAGGATTACAGGTGTGAGCCGCCAGTGCCTAGCCTCTCAGAACACTTTTTTTTTTTTTTGGGGGGGGGGGGGGTCAGTCATGGGGTCTGAACTCTGGGCCTGGGCGCTGTCCCTCAGCTCTTCAGCTCAAGGCTAGTGCTCTACCACTTGAGCCACAGCACCACTTCTGACTTTTTCTGCTGTTGTGGTGCTGAGGAATCGAACCCAGGGCCTCTTGCATGCAAGACAAGCACTCTACCACTGAGCTACCTTCCCAGCCCTCTCAGGACACTTTTTAAAACTGTAATTATTCTCAGACAATGTGCATTATTACTGTTGTCGATTGAATTATTCTCATGTGTTACAAATACTGAGAATTACTGTTCCTAAGATGCTATTCCAGCCACCAGTAACAAACAGGTCAGAAGTAAAGGAAGAGCCAAGATGGAAACCTGGCACAGGGAAAAGAAACTTTAGCCCAGGGCACGGGGACAAAAACAGCTCGTAAGAGAGTGTCACAAGGGCTTTAACCTTTTCATTTCTCTTTTTCCACTGAATCACACAGGATTATCACCGGTAACAGGCCAAAAACACATCAAGACATTCTGTGTTCGGGACACAAGGTTAGGTCATGTAGCAAGTGTCTCAACAACACCTGGAAACGCCTGTAGAACGGCCACATTCTTCCTGTCCTTCCTCAGCTCCTCCACAGTAACTAAGCTTATGCTGCGAAGAGATCAGAAGCTCAGCAAAGAGAAAATGAGCTTATTTCTAAGAACAGAGACCCTCTAGTTTACAACCTTTTCCCAAGAGTGAAAACATTTTTAAAAAATTTTTGAATTTTCATTTCCTTACTTCTGTTTGTTCCTGTGTGTCTTCTTGTCTACAAGAAGGACCTTTTCTGCCAGGCACCAGTAGCTCACGCCTGTAATCTGTAATCCTAACTGCTCCAGAAGCTGAGATATAAAGATCATGGTTTTCAAGGCTAGCCCAGTCAGCAAAATCCGTGAGATTCTTATCTCCAATTAATCACTGGAAAAATGCAAGTAGCTCAAAGTGATAGAGCACTAGTCTTGAACACAAAAGCTCAGGGATAGCGCCCAAGCTCTGAGTTAAAGCCCCACAACCAACAAAAAAAACAAAAAAAGAAAAGAAAAAAAAAGGGACCTTTTCTGTTCCCCTCTTTTAATTTTAATATAGGCCTTAAATAGCTGGCTGAAAATTACTTTAAACACTGATTTTTAGTACAATCTCGTAAGAATGACTTTGAATGCATCATTAACTGCATTATCATCATCACTCCTATAACATTATTATTACTCCTACCAAGGAGATATGTAGTTACTAAATTAGAGGAGGGAAAGGAGAGAGGCTAACATATTTCTCTGCTTCTTTTAATGTAATATGCAATTGCTGAAAATACGTCATTTCTCCCTAATTTTTATTGTTAGAGCAAAGGAGACCAAAACTTTCCAGTCACAGAGAAAGGTAAAATATATTACTGTCTCAGTACTTTAGTTACTGACTGGGAAAGTAACATTGGTAAGTATTTTACTCAGTATTTTGTTTTCTTTCTTTTCTTATTTTTTGTCAGTCATGGAGCTTGAACTCTGGGCCTGAACGCTGTCCTTACCTCTTCAGCTCAAGGCTAGAGCTCTACCACCAGAGCCACTGCACCACTTCCAGTTTTCTGAGTGGTTAATTGGAGATAAGAGTCTTATGGACTTTCCTGCTCAGGCTGGCTTTGAACCATAATCCTCAGATCTCAGCCTCCTGAGTAGCTAGGATTATAGGCGTGAGCCCCTGGCACTCGACTTTTGTTTTATTTTTTGCCTGTCCTGTGGGCCAAACTCAGGGCCTGGGCACTGTTCCTGAGCCTCTTTGTGCTCAAGGCTAGTGCTCTACCACTTGAGCCACAGCAACACTCTGTTTTTTTCTGAGTAATATATTGAAGATAAGAGTCTCATGGACTTTCCTGCCTGGGCTGGCTTTAAACTGTGATCTTCAGATCTCAGCCTCCTGAGTAACTAGGATTATGAGCGACCAGTGCTGGGCTCGGTACCTTGTTTCTGTTTTCAAGTTATTTCTAAACATAGAACTTTAATGGTAGATAAACTACAACAAGTGAGAGCCTAAGCAGCTACTGATAACATTCTGGTGAAGGATATTTAGATTTGCCTCTAGTGCCCAAACGCCGTGCCTTCATGTTTGGAAAGACGTTTTTCATGATCTTTCCAAAGTCAGCAGCACTTAAGGGATGGTAACCAAGATTGTCACAATAGCTCCTGCAAAAAGAAGGATGGACCAGTTGAGAGAGTGATAGAATTCATCATTCCACAGCATGGTGCTACATACAATTTTATCCCTTTGACAAAGGGAACAATGGATTTCCAGTAATCCACCACAATTTATGGGATCACCACTTTTTGGAGACATGAATTAGAATTAGCTCAGACTTAATTAGCTGGATTCACTCTATGCAGCATTGCTTTGAACAGTATCCAGGAAGTTTGCAGTATGATAGAATACAAAGCTTTCTAAGCATACTTCAACTTGTGTTCTGTATGAGTACATCTAGCCCATCTGATAGGGCTCTTTCACAATCATGAGGCTTACAACCAGGACAACTTTTAACAGAACATTAAGCATGAAGGGCATTAGATGAGTCTACTAGATGGTTTAAGATGTGGGAACATGATACACTAGGACTAGAAGGGACCTCAGAGATCTGTACTAACTTTCTTACTTTACTGATAAGATTAATATCTAGTATTCTCCCCACCCCTCTTCCCTAACTTCCTTAATTCTGCAAAAGCTTAGAATTGGAAATGCATTCAGAAGTTATATAGTTCCATTTCTTGCCATATGTGGAAATGAGCACACTCCCAATAATGGGTCACACCTCAACATGAACACTTCCCTTGATGGAATAGCTCTATGTTATGAGATGGTCTGTCTAAATCTCAGTGGTTCAAACTTTAAAGAAAAAGTATTCTGTGGTTAGCGCCTCTTTCCCATTAGAAAGATGAACATATTCAATGATTCTGTTTTAAGTGTAATTTAGCAAGCATTTACAGGGTATCTTTTCATAATAGTGAAACCAGTGCTCTCATTTCAAGCTGTAGGTCATTTCAGGCCATGCAGAGACCTTCATTAGTTTACATCTCATTTTCCTGCTTCAGTCTTTAATTGCAGGTTGTTTAGGCAAGATATGTATCAATTAACGCCTCGACTCAGCATCAAATTATATTTATGTGAGACTCAAAAAAAAGTAAGGAACAAAGAATGTTCTGTTCACAAGATAGCTAATACTTGAATGTTATTCTTAAATTATATTTTTTTCTTGTTATTTATTTTAAATTATGTTTTAAAAATGAAAGCTAACCTAATATTCAATGTGATCATGAATAAGCCACTCAAAATCTATGGTACCAATTGAACCTTGTACTTATTATTCATGTCACTTACACATTAGCTACAAAAGCTGAAGGCAAATATTGTTTAATGGTACAAAAATGTAGATTGCAGGCATGTGTTTTTAGGGAGGTATAAGGGATATAAACTCATGGCCTCATGATTCATAGCTAGGCATTCTACCACATGAGCTGTATACCCTGATCTATTTTGCCATTGTTATTTTTCAGGTAAGGTCCTGAATTTTTGCCCGGGGCTGGTCTCAGACCATGAAGGCCTTCAAAGTAGCTGGAATTATAGCTGTGCCGTATCATGTCCATTTCAAGGCTAGGGCTGGCTTTGAACAATGATCCTTCCAATCTCGACTTCCCAAGCAGCTGGGAAGTAGAGAGTGTGAACCACTTGCTCAGCCTATTAAATACACATTCTAGATAAAGAACTTGTATAGAGAAGGATGTCTGGAAAGAATCTAACTGGTCTAATCTCATTCAATTTTTGTACATACTTCTATTGCTAATAACTGTAAGTGTAACAAATGCCTGGGCTGTAACTAAAACCATATCAAATACTTATAAAGAGAAAGACTTATTAAGCATTGTCATTTCTCCAATCAAAGCTCCTTTATAGCTAACTCGTACTGAGATTTTAGTGACCCAGCATTCAGGTAGTACAGATCACAATATAAGAAATTTAGGGATGTTCTGAAGATATGGGAGAATTATGTTTTCTTTAAGGTGTTAAACAATACATTTGGTCGATAGTCTGGGATCAAAAGAAGGAAAAGTAATACGATCAAATGAAGAATTCACTATTCCATTCAAAGTGGAACAGCTACTGAAATCCTCCAAAACTTTCAAGGAAAGCAAAATCTGCAAGTATCTGTTCTTGACCATTTGTTCTGTCTTTGTCATACTGCAACCTGTCCTGGGCAGTGACATGTGACTGAGACCTGCTGAAGTCCCCTGGGCTCCGGCATTTGGTATGACACCTGAGAACACAGTCCCAAGGGTAGCATAGCTGTACAAGGCTGAAGATGCTACTGCTTACAGTATCTTTTACTTTAGGCCTTCATGAGAAGTTTTATTAAGGCAAGATTAAACTAAGATCAGATATTCACCTGAAAAAATAATTTTAGGTAACCACACAAATGAAAAATACGTGGGAAGGGTTGCTTTGTTTGAAATCAACAAAATTAATTTAGGATTAAATTACCCTGAATATATAAAAAATTGCCATGTACAAGGCAAAAAAGATCTAATATAAAATGTGATTACATTATAATGCATCTACATTTTACAAACACACACACACATACACACAAACACACACAAACACACACATAACACCAGAGGACAAGATCTGGGATACATGGTACTTCCAAAGGTATGCTTTCCATGGTGACTGTAAACAGATAACAAAAAGATCACTAGACCCAAGAAGACAACTTCCTACACAGAGAGAACAAAAAGTGAAAAAGCTAAGAATAGCAATAAAAGGGCAAGTAAAGACAAAGCAGGAAATGAAAGACCAACAACAAAAAAAAAGACTGTTCCTACATGTCAGGAAACTGCTACCCAAATTACAATGCTCAAGAATATAGTCATTTTAGAATTCAGGTTACTGAGATACTGAGGATACATGTGTTCACTCACAGCATCAGTGTTTCTATTACTAAACGGTTAAAATCAAACAAGATGTAAATCAATTGATATCTAAGTACCATAATTATTAAGTATAATTAATTTTAGTTATGAAATGATCACAGGTTATGGTGCTGGATGAAGAAATTCAAATACAGAAACATATAGCATGCTGTCAATTGTGTAAAGAAAAAGTTTGTAATAGTGTTTTTATTTACACACAATCATAAAATACTGCTGGCATAATATACAAGAAACAAAGTTGTTATGGAGATGGCAAAGGTATGATGGAATTTCTTCCCTGTGTATCTCTTATTTTTTTTTTATTTTTACAACCATCTGAATATTGTAATCATTTAAAAATCAAACAGAAAATTGGCAAAAAGTTGTGGCTACTTTTCTTTCAGTGCTAGGGAATGAACCAGAGCCTCATGCATGCCTCATGCTTACAAGGCAAATGCTCTACCACTAAGCTAGAGCCTTAGCCCTCAAACCTGCAGCTTTTTTTTTGTTGTTGTTGGTCGTGGAGCTTGAACCCTGGGCTTGGACTCTGTCCCTCACCTCTTCAGCTCAAGGTGAGCGATCTCCTGCTTGAGCCACAGCACCACTTCTGGTTTTCTAGTGGTTTATTGCAAATAAGAGTCTCATGGACTTTCCTGCCTGGGCTGGCTTTGAACCATGATCCTCAGATCTCAGCCTCCTGAGTAGCTAGGATTACAGGTGTGAGCCACTGGCGCCCAGCTCAAAACTGCAACGTTTGATCCAATGATTCCCCTTATACAAGACTTACACTTCAGTATTACTTCAACAATATATTACTTCAGTATACAAGTGTAAAAATCTATATTCTAGTAAAAAAAAAAAATTAGGAGCTACCTAAATGCCTATCAATAGAAGACTTAAAAAAGTTCCACCCGGGGGCTGGGAAGGTGGCTCAGTGGTAGAGCGCTTGCCTTGCATGCATGAGGCCCTGGGTTTGATTCCTCAGCACCACAAAAAGAAAAAAGCCGGAAGTGGCACTGTGGCTCAGCGCTTTGCCTTGAGCTGAAGAGCTGAGGGACAGCGCCCAGGCCGAGTCCAGGCCCCACAACCGGACCCAAAAAAAAAAGAAAAAAAAAAAAAAACCAACAATATATATAACATATATAATGTTTTCACTTCAAGTAAAAAGAATGAGAGGCAAAATTTACTAAAAATTAATGTAACTCATATATAGAAAATAAAGCTAATATTTAAATCTATTAGAAAATTGAAGGGAATAGAAAAGAATTTAATTTGATGCTATACTTCCAATTTTCTTTTTTTTTTCTTTTTTTTTTTTTGGTCGGTCTTGGGTCTTGAACTCTGGGCCTGGGCGCCGTCCCTGCGCTCTTCAGCTCAAAGCGAGCGCTCTACCGCTTGAGCCACAGCGCCACTTCCAATTTTCTTATAAGAATATATTTGCATATAATTTGTAGAAATAAAAATGAATTAAGTAAACCTAACTCCTGAATTCTTCTGCTGTATATTCTCAAAGATATGGGGAGACATTAATTACAACCACCAAGTAGGAGGGGATGCTATGAAAAAGTGAGTTTTTGAAAATCAAAACTATTTGGCAGCAATAAGTGATTCACAGGGAAAAAAAATGGAAGATGAGGTAGAGAAGAAAAGATGAGGCTGAAGAAAGAAAAAAAAGGGGCCTCGAGGGCGCTTTACAAACGGACTGTCCTCAGATCTGATTCGACATGCCTAGCTGCTGCCATCTGCGCACTTAAGTAAAAATTTAGTCTCTGATAAGCCAGGCGCCAGTGGCTCACGCCTGTCATCCTCGCTACTCAGGAGGCTGAGATCTGAGGACTGCAGTTCAAAGCTAGCCTGGGTAGGAAAGTAGTCCATGAGACTTTTTTTTTTTTTTTTTTAATTTTTTTTTTGGGGTCCGGTCGTGGGGCCTGAACTCTGGGCCTGGGCGCTGCCTCTCAGCTCTTCAGCTCAAGGCTAGCGTTCTACCACTTGAGCCACAGCGCCACTTCCGGCTTTTTGTTTTCTTTTTGCTTATGTGGTGCTGAGGAATTGAACTCAGGGCCTCATGTATGCAAGGCAAGCGCTCTACCACTGAGCCACCTTCCCAGCCCCTGTTGTTTTGTTTTGTGCTGGTACTGGGGCTTGCACTCAGGGCCTGGGTGCTGTCCTTTAGCTTTTTCACTCAAGGCTGGTTCTCTACCATTTGAACCACCAATTCTGGCTTTTTGGTGCTTATCTGGAGATATGAGTCTCACGGGACTTCCCTGGTCAGGCTGGCACTGAACCACAATCCTCAGATCAGCCTTTTGAGCAGCTAGGATTATAGGGATATGCCACTGTTCAGTGACCAGCTGGAAAAGTCCTTTTATTCAGTAATCTTGCCCTGTATTATACAGTACTATAGAAGCTAGGAGCTGGAAGGAATCTTCAAGATTTCTAAGTGCAACTCCCAGATATCAGCTTGATATTCATCAGTGATAAAAGCATTGTAGCTGCATGTAGTATTTATCACAGTTAATATATATATTTTAACGGATCACAATCTGCCTCACACACACAACACTTACTTGTACTCATCGTAGACTTCCTGTTTGGGGAGGGAAGTCTCAGGATGTTCTTCCAGGGTATTCCGAATCCAAGAAAAGGCATGCATTTGCTGTGCCCGGCTCGATGACATGGCATTCTGATCACTAGTCAGGAAATAGAAACATATTTAGCTGAACTAGATCGTAATTCACTTACGGATTTTTGAGTGAGGTTTACATGTTCCATTAACACACTATGTACAAGCACTATAAATGACCAAGCAGAATTTAGTACATATTGACGATACCAAGTGATCGATATACAAATTGTCCAGCTGTGGCTGTGAGTGGTTAATTACAACTAGCCTCAGATTGCAATTACTGCTGGTTGCACCCCTTCTATGACTTCTATGGTGTCAGACTAATGACAAAACTTAGTATTGGTTTTGATCAAAATTACCTCACAGTGGATATTTATGGGTTTACTTGACTGTCCATTTAACCACATTTACCAAACCATGGAACTTTTAAAAAATAAACATTGAGAGAGAGAGAGAGAGAGAAACTGTTTAAGCTATGTACCAGGCTCAAGCCTATAATCCTAGCTACACAGGAGGCTGAGATCTGAGGATCACAGTTCGAATTCAGCACAGGCAGGAAAGTCTATGAGACTCTTATCTCCAATAAACTATTCAGAAAACAGGAAGGAGAGCTGTGGCTCAAAGTGGTAGAGCGTTAGCCTTGAGTATAAAAGCTAAGGGACAGTGCCCAAGCACTGAGTTAAAGCCACAACCAATATCCCCCCACCCCCAAAAAAGAGTTTAAACCAAATCATGAAACTTAAAAAAGCAAACATTAAAATAAGAGTTTATTTACTACTTGCTCAGCATACTAAAAGAATTATACAATGCAGAACAACAATGAAATCTTACTAAATTCCTCTAATTCCAGAGTAGAATTCATGGGAAAGGTCTTGAAAGGAAAAACTACTCCAAGTAGGTCCCATCTAGCTGTCCACTGGACATGGTAAGTTTTGGGGCTCAGAAGTATAATTTGTAGGGGCTGGGAAGGTGGCTCAGTGGTAGAGTGCTTGCCTTGCTTGCAGGAGGCCCTGGGTTCGATTCCTCAGCACCACATAAGCAAAAAAAAAAAAGAAAAAAAGCCGGAAGTGGTGCTGTGGCTCCAGTGGCAGAGTGCTAGCCTTGAGCTGAGGGACAGCGCCCAGACCCAGAGTTCAGGCCCCACGATCGGACCCCCCCCCCCCCCAAAAAAAAGAAGTATAATTTGTAAACAGTCCCCCTGGTAAGGACTGCAGAGGCAATATAAGGAAGTTATTGTGCTGATTTTTACTCTCATCACAGCTACCTTTCTAAGAACACTGAATCCATCCCCAAAAGATACTGCTCAGTATCTATATATCTGTGCCTATCTCACTGCCATTTCTTTTTAGGTACAACTTTTTAAAAGTAGATGTACCCAGGCCCAGAGTTCAGACCCCATGACCGGACCCAAACAAAACAAAACAAAACAAAAACAAACAAACAAACAAAAAGTAGATGTTGAGTACAATTATAAATGCAATGAACTCTAAGATACTAAAGGGCAAGGAAATTCTCTTAATAGTATGACTGAAGAACCGTTTTTCTCATTTTCCAGAAGAGGTATTTTTTAATGATGAAACCAAAGCAATATCAAGTACTTAAAACAACTTATATTTATCATTCATTTTTTACTTTTTCCTTTTACTTTCTGTGATGTACTGACCGGGGACAGCACCTGAATTCTTCTAATACTTATATATGTATTTTGTTTTCTGTTCAGTTTTCACAACTTCTCATGCTGCATAAAAAAAAGTGTCCACAGAAAACAACCTAAATTACATTACACAGTACTTACCCAACTGCATAAACAAATTAGTAAAAATTGCAAGTACTCAACTGAGTTATCAAAGAACCTATAATCCTAGCTACTCAGGAGGCTGAGATCTGAGGATCACAGTTGAAAGCTAGCCTGGGCAGGAAAGTCCATGAAAATCTTATCTCCAACTAACCACCAGAAAACTATAAGTAACACTGTGGCTCAAAGTGGTAAAGCACCAGCCTTGAGCAAAAATGCCCAAGGAAGGCACCTAAGCCCTGAGTTCAAGCCCCACAACTGACAAAAACAAAACAAACAACAACAAAACCCTACTATTCTGTTACTAACAGCTTTAGAAACTTTCTAACACAATAACAGTGACAACACAGCATACATGCATCCTAGGAATGGTCAATAAGCAGCATAAACATAGATGTACCTTTTCTCTCCATTGCTGAGACCAGAAGGCAGCTGAAGGTAGAGGTAGAGTTTCTCTAGGTCTGTAAACTTCTCAACTTCTTGCTAATTATAAAGAAAGATCAGGGTTTTTAAAAACTTTTAAGTATTTATTCGTTCACTTATTTCATTTTTATTTATTACCATCAACTAGTTGGATACACACACATATACCCCACACCATATTTTATTGATCTAATCATCATTTGTAGGACTGTTTCCATAGCTTGGCTATGTGAATAGTGCTGCAGTAAACTTAAGTGTGCAATGTCTCTTTTGTATCTTTGTGTAAATGCCCAAGAGTGGTGGTAGTTTTTTATTTTAGTTTTTTTTTTTTTTTTGCTTTTGTTTTTGCTAGTCCTGGAGCTTGAACTCAAGAGCCTGAGCACTGTCCCTTAGCTTCTTTTGCTCAAGGCTAGCGCTCTACTATTTGAGCCACAGTGCCACTTCTGGCTTTTTCTGTATATGTGGTACTTAGGAATTGAATCCAAGGCTTCATGCATGCTAGGCAAGCACTCTACCACTGAGCCACGTTCCCAGCCCCTATTTTTAGTGTTTTAAGGAACCTCCACACAGAGTTTACATTCCTACCAATGGTGTATAAAGATGTTCCCCATAACCCATAATCTCCCCAGTGAAAGATCAGTATTTAAAACCTCTACTAAATTTACTATTATCTTCCATAAAATACTGTCTAAATCGAAACCAGATGAAATGAATTCACCTACCAATCAAAACAAAACTACATTTTTCTCATTTCTAAAATAACTCAATGAGCTGTTGGATTCTATCATTGCAAATTAAAAATGATCTTCCTCCTTCCCTCTCTCTAGGCTAGGGCTTGAACTAACAGCCTGGGCACTGTCCCTGACTTTTTTTGTTGTTGTTGTTCAAGAGCACTGCGCCAGTTTCACTTCTAGCTTTTTTGGTGATTAACTGGAGATAAAAGCCACATAGACTTTCCTGCCTGAATTGGCTTTGAACCATGATCCTCAGATCTCAGCCTCCTGAGTAACTAGGATTAAAGGCATGAACCACAGACATCCCCCTCACTCCCTATTACTTTTTATTTTATTTATTTATTTATTTATTTGGGTCCGGTCGTGGTGAATGAACTCTGGGCCTGGGTGCTGTCCCTCATCTCTTCAGCTCAAGGCTAGCACTCTACCACTTGAGCCACAGCGCCACTTCTGGCGTTTTCTTTTTGCTTATGTGGTGCTGAGGAATCGAACCCAGGGCCTCAGGCATGCAAGGCAAGCACTCTACCACTGAGCCACCTTCTCAGCCCCCCTATTACTTTTTAAAAGTACAAAGTTGTAGGTTAATACAAAAGTTTCTCATTTTAGCTATGTTTAAAGAAGGCAAGTCTACCTGTGTTATAGGAGAATAATTGCAAGAGCCAAGAGAAACCTCCTTAGTCAGTCTTAGCCTAATCATTAACTCCACTTCATTACAACCGTAAACTGGATGAAGTGACTTCTAGCACCCTTTTCTGATTTTCAAATGCCTACCTTTGTATGACTGCTGTTGCTGCTACTTCCTATGGATGGAATGAGCTTAAAAAGTGTACACTACTGTCCTGCAAAACAATGTCATTTTAAAATATTCTGCATTCTCTTTAGAGCTTTCTTTCTAAAGTTTTCTATACTACATAACAGCATCAAATGTGCCATAAATCCTATTACAATAAAAATACCATAGCAAAATCATGGTAGCCTATTTCAAGCAAAACTCCATTGCAATGGAAACCATGGTGACATTATTAGCATTCCTGGTGGCAGAATTTATTCTTAAGGCACAGCTTAAACAAAGAGCTCTCTTTTCTCCTCCTGCTATACTGGTGTTTATAAATGCAGGTCTTGCACTTATTAGATAGGTACTCTACCAATTGTGCCATATCTCAAACCTTTTTTTACCTGAGCTATTTTTAGAAAAGGTCTTCTGATCTTGCTTGATGTGACCTCAGACTATGATCTTCCATTCTTACCTCCCACACAGAGAGGGATGAAATTAAAATTGTGAACAATCACAACTGGAATTTTAGTGAGACAGGATCTCACTAACTTTTTGCCCATGATTTTTCTGGTTTCTGTCTCCTAAGTAGCTAGGATTACAAATTAGAGCAACCATGCCCAACCAACTTTTTTTTTTTTTTTGGCTAGTCCTGGAATTTGATCTCAGAGCCTGGGCACTATCCTAAGCTTCTTTTGCTCAACACTACACTCTACTACTCGAGCCACATTCCCAGACCCCCAACCAACTTTTGAAAATATTTTTAACTAGTCTTACTTTATTCTTATCAAAATTCACCATAAAAGTTCACTGAGATTTTGTTCACAGATAATTTAATCTATGAATTACATGCACATAGTTCCTAAATCTAAATTTTTAAAACTCTGATGGATATTTTCCATTTGACCTTGCTCTATAATAGCTAATAGATTTACAATTATACACTGTATAGCTCTCTCGTAACGGAAAAATGAAACAAACAAAACCATGAGATACTACCTTACCATCTCAATTGTTATTTATGATCACATTCTTCCTCTCGTTTCCAAAGTGTTTGGTTTTAGAGTCTGCTTAATTTACCTTTTCTTTTTATTTGTGTTTGTGGGGGGGGGGGGTGGGCTGCTGAAGGTTTGAACTCGGGTCTTGCGCTTGCTAGGCAGGTGCTCTATGGCTGTGCTATGTCTCTAGCTCTTTTTAGCAGTGGTGATTTTAAGACAGGGTCTTGCTTCCTGCCAAGCATACAAACTTGGAACACAAGCCTCTTACATTTTGCTCCCCAGTATAGCTGGGATGATACAAGTGCACTTCCATGTCCAGCTTCTTCCTTTGAAATGCAGCCCTGTGAACTTTTTTGCCTGGGCTGGCCTTGAACCATGTTCCTTCCTGATCTCAGTCTCCCAGGTAGCTAGGATTACAGGTGTGAGCCACCAGAGCCCAGCTAATTCTGTTCTTTATGGTGCATTTCATTTACTTAGACCTCTCTTTTCCCTGGAAGTTTTTCAGTCTATTTTCATTTTCATCTTCACTGCCATCAGATTATCTAGGTTTATGTTACTTTCAACAAGGTATTTACTCATTACTGTAATCATTACTGTTTTTTTCTGTTTATGTGGTACAGAGGAATTGAACTCAGAGCTCATGCATACTAGGGAAGCACTCTACCACATTCCCAACCCTGGTTTGTTTTTTTCTCCCCTAAATCGTAGTCCATAAATTATACAAGTTAATTGGTTTATCACTGGATTACACAAAGACTGAACCCCACACACTATAGATAAACAACGGAAGTCCTAAAGTGCACTTAAGATCACACATAACTGAAGTGTCTCAACACCTGTAAGCCTCCAACTTCTCCCCACTTTACTATGCCTTAAATGTGGTTCTAAAATCGCTCAACGACTCTCTTAATCCCCAAAATGCCTACCATATTAAACCAAGGAAGGCTAGCTTACAAAAATAACACATATAGCTGGGCACTGGTGGCTTATGACTGTAATCCTAGTGACCTAGAAGGCTGACATCCTGGATCATGGTTCAAAATCAGCCAGGCAAAGCCAGCCGGAGCAGGAAAGTTTGTGAGACTCTTATCTCCAATTAACCACCAGAAAAATCAGAACTGGAGCTGTGGCTCAAGGTGGTAGAGCGCTAGCCTTGAGCAAAAGAGCTTAGGGTCAGTGCCCAGCCTTGGATAGATTGTGTATTTCACTGGTCAATATGGCCTCCCAAACAAGTCTCACTGATCTATGCAAGATCCTCACATCTTGCTTGATTAGCAAGACAAAGAGTGTCACATGGCAAGTATGTGAAACATCAGATTACTAGATGTGTTTGTAAAAATTTAAATGTCAGTAAGTGGTCAGGGTGGTGGCATACACCTGTAATACCATTTACTTGGGAGGCAGAGATTGGAAGGATCTTCATTAGAGGATTTGCCCAGGCTAATCCCAGTTACTGAAGCCAGCTCAGGCAAAAAGTGAACTGCACCTCAACAAATAAGCTGGGCTTGGTGGCCTGTACCCATAATTATATGTAGGCAGGAGACATAGGTGGGAGGATTGCGGTCCAAGACCAGTTCCTAGCAGAAGTGTTGAGACCCTATCTGAAAAACAACAAAAACAAAAAGACAACACAGTATAACTTAAGTGGTAGCACACCCACCTTGTAAGTATGTGACTGAGTTCACAGTCTAGTATTGCAAGACAAAAAGAACAAAACAAGCATAAGAGTTTTCTGTTCACTGCTTGTCAAAAAGAAGTATATTTGGCTGGCTTTATGAAATAAAGGTGTGAACCACTGGTTTTGGGGGTGGGGTGGGGGTGGGGGGTTGGTTATGGGGCTTGAACTCTGGGCCTGGGTGCTGTCTGTCCCTCAGCTCTTCTGCTCAAGGAGAGCGCTCTACCACTTGAGCCACAGCACCACTTCTGCTTTTCTGGTTGTTTATTGGAGATAAGAGTCTCACGGACTTTCCTGCCCAGGCTGGCTTTGAACTGTGATCCTCAGATCTCAGCCTCTTGAGTAGCTAGGATTACAGGCGTGAGCCATCGGCACCTGGCAATAGTATTTTATTTTTATTGAAAGTATATCCCATGATATGGTTATCTTGCAATACTAGACTGTACCAGCACTGGTACTGTTTTTTGAGCACTAGAAGACTACGTGCATAAACGCTTTTTTTTTTTTTTTTTTTTTTTGCCGGTCATGGGGCCTGAACTCTGGGCCTGGGCGCTGTCCCTCAGCTCTTCAGCTCAAGGCTAGCGCTCTATCAACAGCACCACTTCCAGCTTTTTCTGTTGATGTGGTACTGAAGAATCAAACCGAGGGCCTCATGCATGCAAGGCAAGCACTCTACCCAGCCCTACGTGCATAAACTTTTAAGAATAACTTAAGTTCAACTGTAAAAGGAATGCTATAATATAGGAGAACCTTGAAAACTCAACATCTGTGAAATATCCAGAACAGAAAAAGATTTGACCTGAAATTTCCAATGACATATACTGCTACCCTTTTTTGGAGGGCTATACCACTTGAGCCACAGCACCACTTCCAATTTTCTG